ACCCTAATGAGGATTAAGTGATATTTATGATGATGTTCTGTCCACTTTAAGTGTATAGTAGCTTAAAATTCAAAGTTTAGTAAGTCCACAGAAAACCTGTATTTCTTAAATTTAGGCAGCATTGCAAATGTGTCGCTGTGCTATAAAATGTTAGTAGATAGATGCGCATTTTTTTGAAAATTTTGACAGATATGTTTGAATACCTCCATGAGGAATGTGTCGTGTAAATAATCAGACACAAATATTCAATTCTATTTTCATTTATGAAATGAAAAGGGACCTATGCGGACAAGATACGTATTTATGAGGAAATACGATTTGTGTCTTTCTTTGGATTCCAGGGGGATGTCCCTCTTTGCCGTCATTGCAGCTATTTGACTCACAGTACATCTTTATATTTGTCAGTGGAGTTGAACTAAATATTCAAATTGCCAGTTTTAATCATTCAATCAATTTACATGAAGTGAGCAGACACTAAAAGGCCCGTCATGGGTGTTGAACATTGGAGTCGCTCCAGCTCCATCCAGCATGTGACCTTGTAAGCAGGACAAACAATCACTGTGCTCAGCTGAAAGGTATTGGTAGGGAGTCGAGTTAGAGAGCGTGGGATGTGTGAGCTGATCTTGTCTGAATAGCTAAATAGCCCACTCACATAGTCCTCCAGAGCCCTCATTACATGCCGCATCTTGAAAGGGCAGAGAGGGCAAACCGATCATAAAGAGCAGTGATTATGACAGAGGGGGAGAGAGAGGGATGAGATACTCACTTAGAAACCATCAGTGTCAGCAGGCCAGAGAGGACAAGACGGAGGGGAGGAGACGATGATGAACAGCTACAACCAAAAGATCGTTTTCCAAGCCGACGTTATAGTCAGAAAACTGTACATGATAAAACCTTGGAAAACTTTTTTTTTTTTTTTTTTTTTATAAAATGTGCAAATGTGAACCACTTTAATGTCAACTGGGAGAGAATTCGCCTCATGTTTATTTGATATTTTTGCTCTTAACCCCCTTCTTTTGGGTGAGAGCTTTTGATAGTCAGTGATCCATATTCCACACAGGAAAATATTCTTTCGTTGCCAGCCCTTTTTAACGTAACCACAGTAAGAGCGCAAATGAAGTGAAAAGTGCTGCACTAGCATAATATCTCGGTATGTCAACAAATCCTGCCGAATGTGTAAAACGCCTGCCTCTGTCTCTTTGTGTCAGTGAAGAGTAGCATGCTCAACTTAAGTCTAAAAATTCACTAAGAGCCAAAGCCAAGCAGAATGACTAAAAGATGATTCACTTGAGCATTTTCCGGGCTTTTGTTTCCTTTCTTTTTTTCTCCCTCTTTTGTCTCACCAGGGACGTTTTCTCCTCTCAAGGGAACTGATATTCAGATGGGACTGTCAGAATATCAATGGCCCTAACTAATGCAATTCAACTTTTCTCATTTGGGATGTTGTTCTTTTTCTAAGAACAAAAACTATGTTTTTTTGTCTGCAGTGATAGCAATCATGTCAGTATTCTCCCAGACTACAAAGCAACTAGT